AAAACCTCTCATTTTTATTTCTAGGTTTGTAATTTACTCAGTACAGTTGACCTTTAAACATATATGGGATATACACAGACAGGATATCAAATAAAACAAAAGATTTCTTGGTTTTAATGTATGGCATTTAAATACTCCTTTATTGCACTATTTATAAAACTGTTTTATAGAACACTAAAAAGTATTGGGCTGTTTAAAAATGTTAATCCTATAATTAATAGTCAGAGGCATACGCTTTCCCCAGCACAAGGCACTGATATTCTAAATCTGTCACTCTGAACTTTACAGTAGGAGACAGCCATCTGCCTGCATGCAGCCATCTAAAACAAAGCAAGAATATATGTTCTTATGTTTCCCCTGTGAGATGCAGGATCATTATGATAAATTAGGCAACAAGGTTTAGCTAATATGAATTAATATAGCATATGTTGAGAAAAAAACACATATTAAATCAAACCAATTTGATAAAAGTCAATGCTATTAGGTGATTGGATAGGGATGATTTCATAAAATAGAGCACATTATGTAATGCCAAGTAGAAAGGAAACATGTGTATGGGTGACCCATTACTGAGTCCCATAGCCCTAAAAAACCCTTCTCTGTATTACTGAACCCAGCACAATTTTAATTACGGTTTATACTTAATTTACACCTCAATTTTGCTGTGAAAAATCAAAGTTGTTAAAATAAAATACTTTAATATCCTCTCACAAGAATATTAACTGGAAGTAAAAAAGCAAGGTTGTAAAGAAAAATCAACTTCTGGGGCACCTGGGTGGCTCAGTCGGTTAAGCGTCTGACTTCAGCTCAGGTCATGATCTTGCGGTTCGTGAGTTCAAGCCCCACATCAGGCTCTGTGCTGACGGCTTGGAGCCTGGAGCCTGCTTCGGATTCTGTGTCTCCCTCTCCCTCTCTCTGCCCCTCCCCTACTCATACTCAGTCTCTCTCTGTCCCTGTCAAAAATAAATAAACATTAAAAAAAATTAAAAAAAAAAAAAGAAAAATCAACATCTAACATATCTTTACTTATAGATGCCTGTGCAATTATATGTTTTTTTTTTCAGAGAATCGTATTGCCATCATTAATAAACAGATTTTATGAAATTCAAATCTTGTTCATCTACTTTCTACATTTCAGGTTTTACCGAAATCATTATAGAGATAGATATGATTCTTTTCAGGTCACCTAATGTGCTCTACAGTTTAATTTTATGTGGATCACAGTAATAATCCTCTCTGTAGTAAAAATTTAGTAGATCAACATTAATTTCTTTAGTTTTCTGGCTTTCAAAATTTCATTTTATTTTATTTGAGAAAGAAAGAGAGAGCACATGCATGCGGAGGGGTGGGGGAGAGTGGGGGAGAGAGAATCTTAAGCAGGCTCCATGATCAGTGTAGAGCCCCATGCAGGGTTCAATCCCATGACCCTGGGATCATGACCCTAGCTGAAATCAAGAAGCAGACATTCAATCGAATGAGACACCCAGGCACCCCCAAAGTTTTATTTTTTAAAGAAAATTCTTTTTTTCCTGAAATAAAGATACTTATTATGTAGAGACTAAAGAATAAGAAAATTCAGAAATTCCATGCCCTGCTATCATGTTAAATTTGATATTCTAACTAGTATAGCAATGGAGCATCATGGTTAAATGTGAAGTCTGGAGTCAGCCAAGATTGCTTCTAATCCTACCTCTACCACAGACAGACTATGAGACCTTCAGTGAGTAATTGAACAGAGTCTAGGCTTTAGATTTCTCATTTGTAAATTGGGTTAATTTATAGTTCCCACTTCAGCTGGGTTATTCTGAGGGTTAAATGAAATAAGATGCATGAAGCACTCAGTGCAGTGTCTGGTAAATCAGACCCTTCACAGTGATAGTATGTAAATTTCATTCTGGAAGCATAATTTCATATATTTTAGCTGTTGAATGTACTCAATAAAGGACTCATTAAAAAATTATTTTCATAGCAATTATCTTTAAGTTCTAAGCATTTTAATACTGATAATATTTCTAATATACATATATATATAGAGAGAGAGAGCAAGAGAGAGAGACGGAGAGAGAGACAGAAAGACAGAAAGAGACAGAGACAGACTGATTTAGGGACTGTTTATCCAAATCAAGATTTTTACCATGTAGGTGAAACACTGAAACTGGCATAGAATATTGTTTATTGAAATCTACACTTAGAAATTGTGGCATTTGGCCAATCTAGATAATACTATAAAAAGTCTCATCATGGTACTAGATTCCTGAATCATGGGTCTTAGGCGCCCATCCTCATCTGTCAATCGGGATTGTAAAATGCATACCAGTATGAATTATATTTAGAGGACTAGATTGAAAACACAAACCTGTTCTTGACTTTATGACTGAAAGAAGAAAGGTACTTAATTCAAATTTAAGGGATAAACGATTAAAACAACCTAAAATTCTTATACTTAGAAATAATATTCCAGGGGCGCCTGGGTGGCTCAGTCGGTTGAGCGTCCGACTTCAGCTCAGGTCATGATCTCACGGTCCATGAGTTCGAGCCCCACGTCAGGCTCTGTGCAGACAGCTCAGAGCCTGGAGCCTGCTTCAGATTCTGTGTCTCCCTCTCTCTCTGACCCTCCCCCATTCATGCTCTGTCTCTCTCTGTCTCAAAAATAAACATTAAAAAAAAAAAGAAATAATATTCCAAATTCTAAAAATGCACATTACACTGCATTATAAGTATTACACATGAAATATTTCCCAAAAAAGGAGGAAAGAAAAAGGTAATACTATGACAACTCATACTATAAAAAAAGAGTTCTATTGCATAAATTTTGTTTAGAGTATCACACAAGCTCAGATATTACTCAAAGTTCTTTAAAAAGTCTGTAATTGGCGGGGCGCCTGGGTGATGGTGAGGAAGCCTCAAGGCTAAGGAAGGCTGGCCCATGTCCTAGCCAGTCAGGCATGACTCTGTCCAGGTGCCCGAGCCCCACAGACTGGCTCCCATTGATGGCCCAGGAGCCTGAGCCTGTTCTCCACCCCAGTTCCCTCTCTCTCTGACCTCCTCCCCCCATTCATGCCTCCATCTCTCTCTGTCCCCCCAAAAAAAAAAAAAAAAAAAAAGAGTTGAAAAAAAAAATTAAAAAAAAAAAAAAAGTCTGTAATTGGCAATAATTATTTACTCACAGTTTCTGATTATTTTGCACTCAGAAATTAGTACTCTATACTGGATTACCTAATTTTTGCAATGCACATAATCCAATTATTAGTTTTTAAAATATTATAAATTCGATAGGAAAAACATTAGAATGTAAAAGGCAGGAAGTGATTAATAATGCTGAAAAGAGAAAAATAAAATATCCCTAACAACAAATATAAACAGAGATTCCCAGTCCTTTTCCTGAGGTCAATTTTCTACATTCTGCAACCCAAAACACCAAATAGAATTAAACCACAGTCAAACCTTGGGTTTAACTCCAAATAAGCCTGGATTTATATCTTTCTGGAGAAAGTACAGGTCTGTACATCCAGTGTTAAAGCTGTTCAGTAAGGAGTTAAAGGAGGGAGAACGGGGGATTCAGTAGGAGAGATAAGGATTATGGCTGGGGGGTCATTTGTAGTCTAATGTGTATGACTGACCATGAGATATAGCCAATAACTAAAGACTCCTCATTTCATTACATCAATTTCACTATCACTAGTAAATTTGATTTAAAAAAAACATTAAAAATCAAAGTATAGATTAATAAATTAATCTAATAAATTAATAAATAAAATAATTTATTATAAAAATAAAAATAATTAAGAAGGGTATTTTTCTAAAACTCTACCTAGCATGAAATTAAAAAAAGAAAAAGCCCTCTCAGAGATTTAAATGGCTAAGTGTGGATCTAAAAGAGCTTTACAGTCCAAATTATGTTCCTAGAACTCTACTTACAGAATGTAGTATAAATGGTCTCATACCGTAGCAGAATTGGCAAGTCTCATATTTTGCAGACATATGAAATATTCACTCAAAAATCAAGCAAAGTGATGTTTTCAAAAGCATTTTACAGTTAAAATAGACTTTAAGGATACATATTATTTATACAATGAGACTGAAAATAGACCATGTTTCCATTTTTTTTGCTTTTAACTATATTTACTTGCTTACTTGGCTGAATATTAACACATAACAGTCACACAGGGTCATCTGGCAAGAAGAGCTGAATAACATATATGTGCCTATGAGTTTGCTTCCAGAGGTCTCACATTTTGGTGTTGAAAAAGGATTTAAACACAATCTTGGACAAATAATGAAATTCTCTGCCATATGAATCACTATCCAATAGTAATCCCCATCCTCACCTCCTCAATTTAGAACCAGTGATTAATTTCACATAGAAAACAATGTCACTTTTCAGCTATTAGTGTAAGGACATGCATCATGACCTAATGCCTTTGTAATCTGCCCAGGGCGTTTCTGGCTCTAATTGCCCATCACTGCTTTAATTAACTGAGTGACTCTTAGGAGGCCATTAGATGTTTGCAATAGGGAAATTCTCTTTTGATTCATAAACAGCTCCATTAATGCTAAAACCATGTTCTTAAGTATCAAAAAAATAACCAATCTTAACAAAATAATTTAAATATGGGGATCTGCTTACGAAATACAAAAAAACACTGATGTGATTAATAATTAAGCAATAAAAATAGTATACAATAGAACCTAATTTCTTCTATGCTGACAAAAGATGGACACACCATAATTTTAGAACAAACTACATAAAGAACACTACATTTCCACCTAAACTCTTATTTTTTGTGCCAGCTGAAAATATATTTTGAACGGCAATCCTAATGGAGAAAATAAAATCTTAGGTTTGCTTCTACAATACTGAACCAAAAGTGTTCTATCATAATTCGTTTTTAAATAAAATTATACAGATGTTTCTTGTTTCTGTCAACATGCTTACTATAAGGTTGTAATTCTCTTGTCACCTCTAGAGAACTTTTTAAAAACAAATGAAGATCGATTACCTTGTTCACAGAAACGGCCAGTAAAATGTAGCGGACAGTCACAGTGGAATGAGAAGGTACCGCTGGAGAGGGAGACAGGATGACAAGTGCCTCCATTGTAACACAGGTTCTCCTGGCACACGGGTGGCGCTACAGGAGGGGTGCCGAGGGAGGTCCACGTGGAGTCAACCCCTTCTGTTGCACTAGAAGGAGCAACAGAAGACACTGTAGACAGAGTGGAATCCTGGGATCTAGATTTATAACAAGATCAGAAAACACAATATAAGTAAAAGTACATGAATTTAAACAGAAATAACAGAAACTCTGGTTTAAAATAAGATGAAATAAAAACAACACATATCAGCGGTTTAACCTAGGGTAAAGAGAATTATGTTTGGTTTCCAGTTGTGGGATTTACAAATGTTGAAAATGCCTTGAGCTCTAGAATGTGACCTCAGGTGGATCACAGAGCTATAGTCCATCTATGTGGTTCTGAGAAGCTAAATTAATTTCTTCTAAGTACTTAAGAAACCTGAATGTATCAGCCTCCATAAGCCTAATTGTTTTCTTACATAAAAGAATCAGAATGTGGCTAAGTATAGCTCTACTTTGACTATTTTAACCCTCATGAACCTAAGTTAAAAAAAAAAAAATGAGGCCATGTTACATTTTAATGGTAAAACCGCTTGCACTTGAATTATTTCTAGGTTGATTACTAGAAATGTGTATTCCTCAAAGTGACTTGCATTCAAGAGTTACCCCAGAGGTACCTTAGAAATGCCTGCAAGTGATTCTCTTAAATTTTTTTCCCACAAATTTTACTACCAGTTTAATTTTTTTCTTCCTTAATAAATAATGAAACAACAACGAAATCCCTTTGAATTAAGTTGAAGTTCCTTACTTTTATATTCAAAGCCTCTTGGTAATGGAATTCTTCTTTGTTTTCCAGCTCACTTTATCATGATTCCTAATAAATACCTTAACTTCACTCATACCCAATGAGATTACTATTCCTTCAAAACTCCGAACGTTCTGAATTTAGGCAGTTTGTTGAACTACTTTCTACGCATTGTTGCTCCTCTCTTGCTATCTAAGTTTCACCTAAAGTGCCAAGTCAAAATCTATCTTATTTCCTCTAGATAGCCTTCCTTCTTCATTGGTCCTTAAGATGAAATTGGTATTTCTTTCATCTTTAAAATTCCGTATGTCAATGTACCACTGCTGGAATATTTTCCACTGGCTTGGAGTACATTTTTTAATTTTAGGTAGAGCTACAGGCTGTACATTGGTCATTGTTTTTCTACCTTCCCCCCACACACAAATTCCTCATTTTGGCAGAATTCCTTATTCATAGTAAACAAATGAATTGATGTCTTCAGAGTGCTCCTGAGTGTTACATTACTGTTTGGAAGCAGTGCTTTTGGAATTTTCATTTAATAAAAATCACTAGGAGAATTATCTTTTTAATATAAAAAAAATCTTCCTGCAATAACAAATAAACAACAGCTTAACTATCTGAGTAAATTTTTATTTTGTACATTGTCATAAAGATAAAACTTTGGCAAAAGAAGTCCGTTCAAAAGTTATCTTCAGACTGACGTTTAGAGACTCAGTCATTTTTGCATTCCTGTCTATTACCATGTCAATTTATTGGAATAAAAAAGCTGAAGAAAATGAAATAGATAATTTATTAAAACATTTTACCAAAACCAAAATAATATTAATTGGCAGGTCATTTCTTTTGTTTTACAATGCTCTTGCAACCTGAAATTTCTACTTATGATGTTTATCACAGGTTGTAACCATATATTTATATTTTTGATGAAGCCAAACTGTCTTCTCTCTCCTCAATGTCCACAAAGAATGGATGGATCATCTCTGCTCATTTCTTCATGTTATCCCTAACAACAATGATAATCCTCAAGTAGACTTTTCAAGAAATATTTTATAAACTAATTTGAATAATTTTTGTAAACATCCAATGTACCACAGTACCAACAAGAAAAATAGCAAGTGAAAATAAGTTTATATTTAGGGTCCATTTCATAACTCCATTACACACCATGTTTGGTTTTATAAATAATATAAATTCTAACACTTCTGATGCAATCTTGCAATCAACTTTCTCAGATTTCATTCTGTTAGATTAGCATAATTCTCCCCATTTGTACTCATAGTATAAATTTGTCCCTTTAAAGTAACTTCCATTAAGCAATGCTAATTTGAAGTTCATGGGATTCATTACTCAGTATTCCGTATTCTAATTTAATTTTTATTTCATTGTTTCTGAATGATTTCACCATTTCATCTATCTCTTCTATAGACTTCATGAACTGTAGTCAATTATCTCCTTCAGGAATAAATTAGACTGAATTAAATGTCACTACTTCTTTCTTCTACAGTAGCTGCTAAGGGAGTCTATGTCTCACCTGAAAAAATCAATATGTTGCACATTTCAGCTGCTAGCTGATTATACAAAAATAATTACTGTTAATTGATCCATCAATTAAAACAGCAGGGCCATAAATCAAATTTTGAAAACAGCATTAATTTAACATATTCTGTTTTTAAGGTCAAATTTGGTATTTGATATATCACTATTAACAGCCCTTCACTTTCAGTGTTTTTCTTTTCTTAAATTATAAATTATGTCATAACCTCACCTATTTTAGAATTAAAGTAAACTTTATTCAATTTTAATAAATTTAAAAAGAAACAAAAATTTCTTCTGATAACATTTTAACTTATTTTTACTTTATGTAAAATAGGTTAAACATAAATAAACATGGACATTAAATACAATTAGATGATAGTCATACTGATATAATTAGTAATGTACAAAAAGAGCATTAAATTTGTAATTGCTTTCATTCTAAAAATCATGACTATATGAAAGCTTACAAATAAATCAGGATTCAGGGTTTTCAACACTTTTAAACCAATAATATTGTAAAACTTCATTGCCTTTCTTATTACTATCAGTCTAAAATAATAAGTATAAAGAATCTGCTGGATTGTCTCTTGGGTATCTCTGGACAAGGATATAGTGATGAACCAGTCATTGGTATAACAAGCAGTAATCTCTAAAGACCTTTTTCTGAATGAATTAATGATTGAATGAAATGCTAATTTTACTCAAAATCAAGCCTGATCCTTAGAGAAAGGCACCTTGATATGACAGTGATTACTAATCATGTTGTGGGAGTTCTGGGTGGAAGAAAGGAAGACCCTCCACTCATTGTCTCATTCCTGCCATTCTCTCATTTCCAGAAAGTTCTACAAAATCATTTGCCTGGCAGGCAGCAAGCAATTCACATTGTTTCAGCCTGAGGGATTTTACTTGTTAGCTGACTTTATCACTGTTTAGCATACATTTGTCTGGCTTCAATTTCTTAGAAGAAAGAATGGACTCACTCAAAATTATGAAGCCCTGCTTCATAAGCAGAGAAGCAGGATTTTTGGAACTATGAGGAAGTATTAAAAAGAAAAACTTAGCCAGAGGAGTCTTGAGTTTGTGGCTCTTAACAGTATAGGGGGAAACAAATCTTCAAAAATCATTATAATTAAATTTTTAAAGTGGGAAAATAATCTAGGCAATAAAAGACATATACTTGATGTACAAATAATATGTATACTGTTTTTTAAAAATGAGAATAGTTGTATAAACATACATACTCCCTTCTACTTTATCTTTTCACCTACTAGGATATGCTCATCTGCTCTTTACTTTTTCACCTAAAAATAATTCTTAGCATGCTGCCCTATCAGTAGGTACAGTTTTTCATTTTCCTTTTTAAGTTGCAAAGTGTTATACTGTTTAACTATACATTATTGCTTCCATCAGTATGGAATTAATATATTTAAGCTGTTTCAAGTTTTTCCTCTAATATCTGGGTCATACATTTATTTTAATAGGTATATAGATATACTTTGCAGAGGATACCCATTTTAAGTACAAGAGTCAATGAATTTTAGTAGATTGAGAGGTGTGCAAACATCAACATAACCTAATTTTATATTTTGTCTTCCCTAAAATTATACTATTTCTGTGGAGTTTCTTAGTGGTCAGGCCCTCAGTTCCCATTTAGCATAACTGTCAACATCTAGTCATCTTTTAGTGGTGGTGGCGAATAGGAATAAACTCAAAGAATTTAATTTCTGCTCTATCAAAATCATGAGAACATCATGCTATCAAATAGAGCTTGAAACGTACTGAAAAATGGCTTCAAAATTTTATTTAAATTGTCAGCATTGTCTACTAGCTTCAAAATTCATGTTGTCTTGTCTTTAGTTTGATCTAATAGTGAATTCTTTCTGAAAGCAAAACACAGAAAAATGTTTGCTATTTAAGATGTATTTAATTACCATAACTACATTAAAAGAGGAAATATGTAAAATTACTGTTAGTACTTATAAAATTCTCATTTGCCATTCAAGACAAAAATTAAATATCAAACAAAAATTATACCTGGAAGAATTGATCTGAAAACACGAATCCCAGGTATTATTACTCTTCTTTTTTTCACATAACATTATGCAATAGAATAATCATATCCTAATAACAAATGCAATATTTAACATTTTATTTTATTTTTTCCTAAAGTTTATTTTGGAGAGAGAGAGAGAACAAGCACAAGTGGTGAGGGGCAGAGAGAGAGAGAGAGAGAGAGAGAGAAAGAGAGAGAGAGAGAGAGAGAGAGAATCCCAAGCAGGATCCAGGCTCTGAGCTGTCAGCACAGAGCCTGACATGGAGCTCAAACTCACGAACTGTGAGATCATGACCTGAACAGAAGTCAGATGCTTAACCAACTAAGCCACACAGATGCCCCAATATTTCACATTTAAAGCACAAGTAAATTCATTCACTATTAACATAATAGTGGGATTTTAAAAGATCTTGTTTTGACATTGTCCCAATTTTTCTCACTAAAGAAATACATTTCTCATTCTCACAATCTTGTATGTTTTAGCTCTTACATATTCATAGATAAGGTTCCTTAGATCACAAGCATTCTCACATAATCGAAGTTCGCAGAATTGCTGTGTGTTAAGCAGAATAGTACCCCAAGGCATTCCAAGCCGCTGCTGTCCCTCAATATACAGGGTGGGTAATTTTGAAGAGCTGTACTCTCACTGATTGGTTATGATTTTCTTTTCCCATGTCAGCCCTACTGAGGATTGTTCCTGATCACGGAGAAGGTGCAAGCTGTCCTGATCTTGATTCCCGAGTCCAACCCTGCATGGGAATTAA